TTTAAAATGATTCTTTAGGCACATGTACGGGGGCTATCGTTCTTCTTTCGGCTGAAAGTTCAAATTTTGCCCAGATTTTTCACTTAATCAATGCGATCTACCGCATGCCAGTTTGGAAACGCCAAAACCTCTGACAAATCACCTTAAGTACCGTGAAAAAAGTCCATATTACCTTTCGACTATTGCATAAAGAGAGTAAAGTTCGGTTTATAGGGAACAAAAAAGTCTTCGGTCCTAGGAACCAACTTTCAGTTCAGTCATGAATCACCTTAATTGAAAGCATAATCTGACTCTCTCCTGAAGCATGCGTATTGTCTCTATAGCAGGCAAATAGTGAAATTAGACATTTTATCAAATGCCTTGGCAGTTGGTCAAATTTTAACAGTCTACAAAATTTTGTGAATTTATGTCGAAGAGCTCACAATTCTTCACTATTTTTGGAAAAATAACTCATCAAACCTACGATCTCTTTTTGTCTCTCCCACTTCAATTGCTTCTCATATTATTAAATGTTGAAATTCCAAAAATTCTGTATTTTACGACATGCAGAAAACTTCAAGATCAGTGTCTCTTCAAAAGCTTAAAATTGTTTAAAATACTATTGTGTGTGCAAATTTTTACTGAGAATTTTTTCTTGCAGGAGCAATGAATTATTTTGTCTGAAATTAGGAAAATAATCAGAATTTCAATCTAAGTTAGAATACTTAAATATTTGCCTGGGCATTTTGACAAAATGCCTGATTATACTATTTGCCTGCGACATCTCTATAGCAGAGCTGTATCAAAGCACCACACGAGTCCCGAAGTTTGGGAACCCTTGTCGCAAAACCCCGTCCCGAAACAAACGCTACCAATAGAAGTTATCGAGTCGGGTAATGGTAGCCGCGAAGGTGTAAATCTTAGCGCCGGCGTTGATATTTCGGAGGGATCGCCGGCGGGGGGCGGGGGGCCCAGCACAATGAGCCTTTTTGTATTCCGGGTCGGAGCCAGGGACTCGATGAGTTGAGAGGATTGGTGTTGTTCAATGCTCCAGGGGACGACCGGAGGGGAGGGGGGCTGTTTGTCAAACGACTCTTCCACCCTGAGCTTTTGTTCGAGCTTCCCCCTTAAGTGCCCATAAATAAAGTTATTCTGTCTCGAAATTAGAGCCGAGCGTTTCGTCAAAAAATTAAGAGCCTCGGGCGTTGCGCTTGCAATCGTGCAACAGGTTATCAATTCCCGACTAAATCCGTGCGCACCACGGTTCGAGTTTCTTTTTAGAGACACTGAATCAGAGATATGAGCACCTTAGAGTAACTTTACTGGGAGAGTGTGGACAACTCGAAAAATTGGAGTTTAGGTTTGACCAGCAGCCCGACCACAGACTTTGACTTCCATCGATACTGATAGAACTCAGTTTCCAATGGGGTATCCCATTGGAATGGAACTGAGTTCTATCAATATCGATGGAAGTCAAAGTCTGTGGTCGGGCTGCAGGTCATGTAGCTCTTGGGGCCCAAAAAGGCAGTCAACCTATGAACTCGAACCATCCAATGGAACTAATTTAAACTGCGAGAGTAGGTACACTGATCAAAAATTCTAAAAGAACGCATAAAATTTTGATTTCGCAAACATTTTCTTAGTTTCAAAGTTTTAATCCTTAAAAACACTTGTTTTACAATGCGCTGTCGGCCCTTTTGATTAATATTTCAAATGCATAGGTCGGCAGCGGCACTTTTCTAATGATTTTCGTTTTTCACGTTGTCGCCTTTTTGGGTCCTAAGAGTTGCATAAATCGTGATGTCCATACTCTACCTGTAACGGTACTCTAGAGTACCTCCCCGGGTATCTTGGAAATAGTGGAAGCTTTTACTTTCCGGACTTCAACATTCACCTATTGACCAACTAAGTGGATGGTTAACAACATGTTGAGAATTTCGTTTTGCAAACGAATCGAAGTTTGGGAAACTTGTTTGGCTCAATACGTCACCCAAAGCTCATTATACACACCGAGAAAAATGTGAAGTTGATTTAACATTCTGGATGTAAAAAAAGTGTGCGAGAACTCACAAAACCCTGAGTTAACCGCCACAGCAGTTACTTTAACAATGTCAAGATGTAAAACTAGCTGCTGTAGCGGGTTATTTAGAATTTTTTGATATCTCACACACTTTTTTTACATCCAGAATGTTAAGTCGACTTCACATTTTTTTCGGAGCGCCTGGTAGGTATGATGACTGTTGCACTCTTATCAGCAGAAAGAAATCGAGCCATTTTAGCTACATCTAAATTGAATTGTGAAATTTTTTACATGAAAACGGTTGTGCGGATTTTTGTGCGAATTTCAGTGAATTTTTTGTATAGTGCGAATCAAATTTCTTAAAATTCAAGCAAATTTCAAAGGAATTCGCACAAACGTTCTCTTGCAAATAATTAAATTGTCCAGTTAAATTTGGCATTACCTAATGTGGCTTGGTTCCTCTCTGCTAAACGTGGTCCAATTTTTGATAAGGCAGTGTTGAATTTCCAAAATGAAAAGCTTTCACCTGCCGCTAAGAGGCTAGTGGAGGGTCTCACTAAGCCTTGTGGACTTACTTTTCAAAAATGAGAATGATAATAAGGCATGTAATGGTATTTGCCCTGCAGTCTTCAACAGAAATTTAAAAAAAAAATTCCTAACATTTTAGTTCGAATAGGGTGAGATTCTTTATCAACTTCCTCGATTGATAGACAAACCCTGGCCGACTGGATTCCCATCGAAACCCGATAAAGAATCGGTGTTCCAGCCTCGAACCCGGCCCCCAGGCTCCGGGTTCGTTTATTGCCCGATTGTTATTCCCCCGCGTCTGATTTCGAATAACTTTATTGAAACGGAGGCTCCCCGCCCCCACCCCGTCCCCACACTCCCCCGCTGCGCCGAGTCCCTTTTCGGGGGCGGCAAGTGCCTTAATTCCCCCTTTCTTCCGTTTGATAAGGTGTTAAATTGCTCTCCCGTGACAGTC